CCTGGAATTCTACTGGCTTTTTCTTATTCTGGTAAAAGAAATGATCGTGAAAGTTAAAACTGCAATGAAAAGCCATGAGTATATAAAGCAAAACATGAATGTATGTAATTTAAATTTTAATGGCAAAAAAATGAACTCAGATATTTACGAGTTTTATTTGCATCAACAAGCCTTATTTATTAATAGCCAAACCATTCCATTTCTTTAAATTTTAGCAAAGATGTTTAGTCTGCAATGAAATACCAAAATAATTTTGTCATTTCATAACAAATGCTTCCAGAGGCTTTATTATGTCGTTGCCTCTCTTGATCTCAATGAGGCTGAGAGTAAAACAAACAAATAAGCAAACGTTAGACGTAAAGAAGGTGTGTGTGTGTGTGCATATATATTTCTGGGGCACTGGAAATGTTCCGTATCTTATATGTTGTTCTGGGTGGTGCTAATGGAGAATAAAAAAGTATATTCACCTTTTATATATATATACATATATATATATATATATATACTTATATATATATAGTACATGGCACAGAATACAAAAAAATATTCAGAAAACATTTAAGAAAAGCAAAAAATAAAAACAGGAGAAGTTGAATTGGAGAAAGAAGAAGGGGAGGGGGCAGAGGGAGGAGGGAGAGGAAGAAGGAAGAGAAGAAGAAATATGTGTGATGAGTAAAACTGGGAAAAAGAACTTTTACTTAAGTTACACACATGTTTTTGTAAGTTTGCCAAAGGTCCAGATGATATCACTGCTGGCTAATTCAGTGACCAAATTATTGGCTAGTAAGATTCACACAGGCCTTCTACAGATGTGCGCCCTGCCCTGGGAGAAAAAACACTCTGTAGGATCTGGAGAGAGGTGCCAATCACGGGCAAGCAAAACGTAGAACATCGACACTCTCCATTTTTCTCAAACCTGATCACTTCACAAAGAAAAGAATCATCTCCAAGTTATATATTTTATTTCCATTTTCAACTTTTCACTCTCTACAAACTAGTTCCACTCCTTACTCTTTCTTACTTTTATTAACCTTTTTCATTCATGTGGCCCAAGCCAATGCTGACGGGAGAAACGGCAGAGCCAGGGGTCTGCGAGAGATGCCTGGAGTGGGAACCAGGCTCTCACATGTGGTTTGCTTGGCCAGTACGGTATGGGAGGAAGGGAGAAGAAAAAGAAAGAGAAGGAAGAAAAGAAGGAGGAAGCAAGAGAGAAACTGGATTGTTTTTAGAAAAAGCACAAACTGCTCAGTATTGTCACAAGCCTCACCATTCCCTAGTGTCTTCCACTGACTCTATCACACATTCTGTCATCTGTTTGGCCCCGAAAGGCAATGATTCCCAAACCTAGTCCAAACTTCATTTAATAGATGAAGACCAAGAATCCTAGAAGAGTTTATTAATTTGCTAAGGTAATAGATGTTTCGCAGTAAAGCGACAGTGAGAGCTGGGTGACCTGGCTCCTAGTTCCATATTCTCTTCTGACTGCATCGCACCCTCCCATAGATTCGATCTAGAGCCTGAAGCACCGAACTGAAACAGAAAGGGTAAACCAGCATATAAAACGTATAGAAAATAAATGATATATTCCTATCGCTGTACAAGTTTGTTTCATATTTCTTTATGTCCATGCAACCAAAGGTGGCTAGAAACTAGGTGAATAGCTGAGTCCCGTATACAGGTGTCGATAAAACTGTACCCATATCTAACACAGCAGCCATCGACTAGACATGATTCTGGGACATTAAGGCTGAGACACTGCATTTCTAGCAAGTTCTCTCTGTTTTAATATTATATCCCTATATTCAAGTGTACAGAACTTAAAATGGCCTGGATTGTCCATTATTCTGTTTTTTTTTTTTTGACCCTTTCTTAGCTACAAATTGGTTTATTTTATACTTCAACATCTTGTACAATGATGTGTTGAATTTAAATTAGACGAGGGGCATTTGCTATTCTCCCCAGTTACCAATATAGTTCTCAGCCATTCTGTGGGTCTTGAATTATAGTTGCCTATAGAGTGAATGAGCACCTAACCGCAGTGCCAGGAGACCTTCCAAGTCACGCTCAGGTCTATATTAAACTGTGACTCCCAGGATACCTGGGAGATGCCCACTCTTCACCATACTGAAATGTTCACGTCATCTATTATAAAGGGGTAATATTACAGATTTGTGATTTTTACACCAGAACTCTTACTTTGAAGGAATGTCATTACACTGGCCCAACTTATTGCAGTGGAGGCAGACACAACTGAAAGCAGGAGCTATCGCTGGAGGGGACAGACAGTGAGCACATCAGGAAGGTGGAAGGGGAAGGATGAGCGGTGGGGGTGGAACGCAAAAGGGCTCCCTCTCCCCTCGGCTGCTCTAGTATCGTCACAGTCGAGGCGGGCCAAGACTTCCACTCAAGTTTGAAAAGCAAGAAGGTGAACTTCGCTTTTCACATCAGAACTTCAAAGTCTTAATATACTATAATAACACCAAAAATTACATTTAAAGTGAATGAATAAGGAGAATCTATAAAAATGAGGGACTATCATGAAAAATTGTGAAAGCATTTTGCATTTTTATGGGGCTACTTCCTGGCTGCTAGAAATGGATATTCGTAATGATTATATGTACAGTTATTTAAAAACCAGAGGAATAACTTGTGAGGAAAGTCCAAGAATGCTTATTAGTCTTTTCTCTAAGCATGAACTAGGCAAGACATTTTGGGGAAGTAATGGCAGATAGACAAAACCAAACAAACCAACAAAACCAAAACAAAACAAAGTGAGAGAACTTTGAATTGCATTTTATCTGATTGTATAATAACACAATTCTCAAGTTATTAGGCACACACACTCAATATAATGAAGTTCCCCGTATAGAACAATGCCACCATACTTTGTTTATTCACAAACACAAATTTTGACTTGAAAGGAAATTATCCTATTTAAAAGTGGTAATTTATAGGTATGAAGTAAACTGACCATGCTTCACTTCAAAGTTAGCTGTTTTGTTTCCTTTCATGAGCTGTTACATAAACTAACCATGAAAAAAAAAATGCTACTAAATAAATAATAACTCCTGAAAACCCATGAAAATTCAGGTGCCATTTCTAGATTCATTGTTAAAACTTTTTTTAAAAAGTTAACATTTTTCTCTGCTTTATGTCTGCTCTTGATGATGCTTTCATTATCTTGTTTTGTTAGCACACTAAGTTTAAAGCTTATTGTAAAATGTATTAGCTTTGAATGAAAACTCTTCACTTTATAATTACTTTCAATGTCATGAGTGTTAAACATAGTACTATAACATTAGTTTGAAATTAACCACTGCATCAAATGCCTAATATTAAATGGCCTCTAATGCTTACATAAAAGTTCAAAATAAGGTCAAAGAAGGAGGAACATTAGGAGACACTTATAATGGAAAACAAAATTTTTTTGCCAATCTCAAAAATTAAACAAAATCACTCATATTATCATTGTGCACAGTACTTTTCTTGCTTTCAAATAAAAGTTAGAAGTGGTTATTTCCATATCTAACAGTTCTTGAAATATTATTAGGCTAATGAAGATATTTGTCAAGACCAATTATTTTACTTTTACAGTTTAAATACTGAGAATGTTGACAGTTTATAATGCTGCTGACAAATGGGAACAATAAATAATAACTCTTACAAAATCTAGAGTCACCTGAAAATAAATTTCCTAATTTCCTTGAAAAATCTTCACTTTGCTGTAGGTATCAATTATAAATAGCAGCTAACATCTAATGAATGCTTCTTATGTGCCAAGCACTGATCATTACCCTTATTTTCTATCATAATAATCTGTGATTATTTTATTTGTTTATTGTCTTTCTCCGCCACTACTCCAGAAGCTCAAAGGGGACAGGAACTTCGTCTAGCTCCTTCTGTATCCCCAGCACCTAGCATGCCTAACACATCTTAGGCACTAAAATAATAAATGAGTCAGTGTTCTTAAATGCCTGTTGGTCATGACCTAGAATGCTAAGAAAATGCAACAGAGCAGAAAATAGAGTGTATTATACCTAGTAGAATAAATATTCTTTAATGAAACTTAGTTTATATATGTCCCATATAAAATGTATTTCTTACTCATGGGTAATAGTAAAAAAAAAAAGTTTGAAAATTACTGCTTTACATGCATTATTTCATTTACTCCCGATAATAACTTTATAGACACCATAACTTCCACTTTAAAATAACAGAACTAGGTTTTTAGATGTTATATGTGATGTCCAAGATGACAGTGCTATCTGTAAGTACAGACTTCACTTATATAGATACTCACTCCTGTGGTACTAAACTAAGAAAATCTTAAATAACTAAATAAGGTTTCAGTAAGAGTAACTGTGACATGATTCATAAAGAAAAACAGGCCTGACTGAATTTAATACCTGGTTCTGCCACTAATCAGTTGTGTGGGCTTTCTCCTAATTTAACATGTTTGCACCTCGATTTCCCCATGTGTAAATTAGGGATATTCGTAAGGTTGTTTTGTTTTAAATGATTTAATGTATGTAAATAGCCTAGACCACTAAATAGAGCTGTTGTGTTTGAAATAATTCTTAGTGTTGTTTTTTCCAAGTCCAATAAATCACATTCAATCCACGAGATTATAATTTGAATGCGTGAAAAGTGTGAATCAGGTATTTATTAGACTAAAGAACAAAGTATGGGAACTGTGCAAAAGTGGCATAGCGCCGTCTAAGAGTTTCTGTTGGCGCTGGGTGAGAAAGATGCCTAACACAAGATCAGAGAGTGGGTTCGGGTAACTAAAGGAATCAAGAGAAACACTAGGTTAAAAGTAAAAATCAACACAAACTATTTCATCCTTCCTCAAAAACATCCTTCCACAGCAACATCCATCTTCTTCCTCTGCCTCCTGGCTGGGAGTGAACCGAGGTGTTAGGAAACGCACCTGGTCAGCTCCCGCCCACTAGGCCCTGGTACCAAGGGGCTATATGGCACAGAGGTTCGGAGCAACTCACCCCGGAGACTCCGTCGATAATGCCCCAGAATCTCTTCCAGGTTAGAGTTCTCCGGGGACTTCGCCATGCACAGACTCGGGGCCCAGAGATGGGAGTTACGTGGGGAAGTGTCCAGTGCTCTTCCCTCCGACAATAAGAGGCCTTGGCGCCCCAGGAGTGCCCGTCTGCTTCCTGCCGCTACTGTCAATGGGGAGCATGGAACCCTGGACTGAGCTCTCGGGGGCTCTTCCCACCTACTGGCCCTCCTGGTGGATGACGGGAGTTGTGGTTCGGAGACTCTGGGCCTGCAGTACGGAAGCTCCTGAGAACTCCTCCAACTACACTACAATTCCCAGAGGACACCGCGCTCCGAGAGCAGGCTTCGGCCGTTTGGTTGCCAGAACCGGTTGCCAAGAGATGCTTGGAGGCTCCGCCCTTTTCCTCGTTTAGTCCTGCTTTCATCTCATTCTGCGGTGTGGACCACCCAGCTGACAGAAAGGGCTCACTGAAGGCCTTGACTCTTCTAACTTTGCTAGTATGCAGTCGATCCTTGAAGATTCTCAAGGACGCACACAACAAGCCCCACACTCTTCAGCTACGACATTTGCCAAGACGGCCAAATGAATTCTCAAGAGAAATAAGCTCTAAGCCTCCCAGAGCCTTGATTTTGAAAGGAGGCTGACACTACAAATCCTAGCATGCCTTGCAACCCGACCTCCGCTTGGAGTTGGCGCACTGCCTGCTGGGAACTGTAGTCCGTGTTGGTAGTGGATCCTGCGAACGCCAGGGTCCTTTTCATTGTTCATGCTGGTCTTTGAGGCACGCCTGCGCAGTAGGCAGCTGGAAAAGCCTGCGGGTGAGACCCTCCGCACAGCCCCTTTTCATTGTCTGTTTTCAGCGCCTGCGCAGTAAGAGATCGTTGAGACCGAGCCGGGAAGGGGGTAGGGCCGGGCTCCTCGCCCTTTCCCCAGGCGCCTGCGCACTAGTCGGCCACTCTTTGCCGTTACCGCTATGTGTGGGGCGTGTGTGGAATAACGTTAGTGCCCAGCGGAACTGAGGGCCGGGAGCTCGACCCACAGCGGCAGCGACGACGACGACAGCGGCGACGCCGAAGACAGGGTGGGGGGAGGACGGCGTGCGACAGACTCACGGGACGCGACGCGCCCCGCCTCCCCCATCCGGTCCCTCTCTCCGCGGTGAGGGGTAAGTGATGCGCTCAGCTGCTGGGGTTCGGCTCTGCCGCCGCCGCCGCCGCCGCCACTTTTCCACGTCCTCCTCCC